CTATGATTCTTTTTAAAACACAAGATATATTAAACTTTGATGTGCTTTTTGTGAGCAATTCTGCACGATCTCTTTCTTTCTTCTTGTTTTGGGCTTTACATTACTCCATGTTGTTTTTAGATCTTCTTACCTTCAACAACCAATTTTTTCCCCTCTCTCGCTCTTGATGAAGACGGACGCTGTTTTTCTCTCGCTTGCTTCCCCTCCTGCTTTTGCTCTTTTGCTCCTTGTGAACCTTTTTCAGAGCACCTTTTTGCATACCATCCCAATTGTAAACTATGGATTTGTTCAGCTGGTCTCTAAATGCAATGGATCAAATGTTCTCACAAGAAGGCATGGGTGAAGGAGAACCGTCTTACCTCTGAAACATAATTAGATTTATGATAACTGGATTTTGCTGTTTGGAGTTGGTGGGAATCTGGATTGTCGACAAATTTGGAAATACCAGCCGCTGTTTAAGCTGTCTGGAATGTGTGTGCCAGGTTTGGCAACACTCAGACTGTGTGCGAACTATCTGTGGACCAGTATCAGAGCTGAGCAGGCAGGACTGTGGAACTTTGTGGCAGTGTTCACGGACAGCTGGAAGAAAGAGATCTTGGAGAAGTTGTAAGCCCGACTTGGACGCTAGTGATCACAATTTGGCTGTTTGGAGTCGCCATGTGATGTACTAGTGAGACTATAAAAGGCAAATGCGAATATTAAATAACTCGACCTGACCCAAAACAATGTTGAAATCTGAATCTGGCTCTGGCCTTGGAAGGCTGATAATTTCAATTTCTCCTTGGATGTTTGGAAACAAGATGCTCTGATCCCCTCCTACAACCACCCCCCCCCCCCCCCCGAGAACATATGTGGACTCTTGTCAGCCTGGCTGAGAGACACTGTAACATTTTTATCAGGACTATGGAAACTATCTGGAAGTGTTCATGAACAATCTCACCGTCTTGTCGTCCCCAAACCCCCTCCCCTGCAAAATGTATTATGTCTCTCTATGTTGCTTGCTGAGGTAGATTTTTTGCTACCTTACACTGTGCCCTGTGTCAAAGACATGGTCTGAGAGATATTTTTTTTTATACCTTGTCTCCTCATGTTTTCTTCCCATTTTCTTTTCCAAGCGATAAGGGCAGCGCTCATTGGGAGCTGTAGCCTCGGTACAATTCCGTCTATCCTTCAGACGGCTGTATGGAATGGAATTTTGCTGTACTTAACTGTACAATGACTATAAAGTTGATTCTGTTTCTGATTTTGAATAATTAGTTTTTGATCACCAGTCAGTTTTCCTCAATCTGAGTAATCCGCTCAAGGTGGCAGCATGTTGGAGCAGCTCTGTTACTTTCATTCTGAGATTTTGCTTTTGGAAACTTTAATTCCTCTTTTTTCTGGATGTAAATCACATTTTTTGGACGATTGTTTCCTCTGGTATCAGATGCTGTGCAGCTGGAAGGATTTTCACTGAAACTTTTTTAGTTTTGGACATTTGTTATGATGCATAACCATGGCAACAAGGCAGTTTTCTACAACCAACAGCAGCTGATTAACATCTCAAAAGCTCAAATAATATCTCAACTACAGCCCCAAATCTCAAATGAGTTGAAAAGGATGTTCTGTGGACGCATTCTCATCTACCTGCCAGCTGTGATTGGGTGCCTGACCACTGAGATCCTGGAACTGGCGGGAGACACGGCTCATGACAGCAGACGGACAGGATCGTCCCTCGGTGCATACAATTGGCTGTCCGCAGTGACGAAGAGCTCAGCGGACTGCTGGGAGGAGTGGCCATCGCTCTGGGAGGAGTTCATCCCAGCATACGGGTGGTCCTACAGCCCGGGGGAACCGAGAGGCCAGCCGAGTCTGGGTGGACAGATCGAATGGCATCTGCAGCCAGTTTCTTAGGATCCACTGTGAGATGGACCTTTACAAGAGATCCTTCCTGCCTTCAGCCACCAGTATCTATAACATCTCTTAATGAAATGAGGATAACGAGTTACAACAACAAATAATTTCCCTTTGGTATTAATAAAGTATTTTTAATAGAATTGAATTTGAATTGTATATTTAGACCCACTGTAAGAAGTTGGGCCTGTAGGAAGTTGCTTTTACATGAAGGAACGCATGAGGAAAATATTCCATTGAGATAAAATTGCTTAGAAGTTGCGCAAGTTCAATAGTGTTGGATTGACCAAGTCAAAGCTTGAACCTTAATCTGATCCAGAATGTGTGGCATGACTTGAAAGATCCCTGTAATCCAGCGGCACCTTTTAACTTTTGAAGGAGCTGGAACAAATACCAAAATGGGTGAGTACTTTGACACTGCACGCTTTGTTGGAGTCGACTGTTACATTGTAAAGAAGCTGGGAACAATGAGCTCTTATTCACTGAATGATTCAAGGTTGTTTAGTCAGCCTATGAAACAAATCCACATGAGAAATTCAAGTGTTTGCATCAAATGAATATTTAAATGTGTCACAATAAGCTGTATTAATTAAATAGAAAAACAATGTTTTTGTAAACCTTACCTGAAAGTTTTTTTTTTCCTAAGATAAATCAACGAACAAGCACAGCTGCTACTTTATTGAACAGTAGAATCACTTAAAACCTTTTGGTGCTCTACATATTTGTGAATAATTAAGTTACTTTAATTTTAACAAAGTTGTGCAAGTGAATGCTTCAACTCACTGATGGACTTTTGAAGTCATCTCAGTAATCGTTGAGCTCTAATTTTTCAATTGAATATTTATTAACTATATATAATGATGAACTAGTTTTTATAAATCTTCTGAGATTTAATTATTTGTATTGTCTTTTGCAGAAATCTTCCATGCGACCACTTAGTTGTCTCTCATTGAGTCCTTTGTTTCTCACGAGAACCTTTCAGCTCAGTCACGCCTCCTACATGCTCACCTGCCTGCTCACTCTCCATCTCTGCTGCATCCTCTTCTGTTCTACCTGGTCTCGTGAAACTCTTTTCTTCTCTTACTAACCTGGATCAAAATCAAAAAACACAACATTGTCTTGTCTTGTTAAATTTAACTTTCATCAACCACCTTCTGTGTACATTCCTTGGTCAGCCATCTTGGGTCATGTGACTAAAAAAAAAACGACAAACAGCTCTAATCAGAAATAAAATTAGCTGTTAAAAATGTTGCAGCTACCTTTTCGAGTTTAAAGAGTTTGATCTAAAACATGTTAAAAATAAAGGATGTCAAACAGAGGACACTGGATGGGTTGTTAGCAATAAAATGCAAAGTTATTTTATATTAAGAGATCATGAGTTCACTAAGCTGCTAGAGACGAGTCTCCCAATCAGAAACAGCACAATAAAAAAGTTAGTTGAAAAGGCCAGACTCTTTTAGTAGTTTGTTTGTTTGTTTGTTTGTTTGTTTGTTCAGTAAAGGCCTTACATGCAAGACACTGTTCAAACACACTGCTCTTAGTAAATGTAGGTAACAGAATGACATGCATTCACACAAAACTGATGTAAATCTTCAACACGACCTTGTCAGCCCTTTTTATTCAACAGATGATTTTTATATAAAGAAAGGACAATGGAAGAGAGCTAAGTTCAAGTTGGATGAAGCATTTTGGTTTAAGTAAAACTAAAAAGAAAACATGTTTTTAAGTAAAACTAAAAAGAAAATACTGAACTGACATTTGCTCAGCTTTGCTTTTGATAAAATTTCTCATATTCCCAGGCTAAAAAAAAAAAGATTTTCTATTTGTTTTAAAGAAGATGAAAGGGGCTGAGTAAATGGTGAGTTTGTAAAGCAGGAGTCGACAAAGCAAGCCCTCAAAATGATTCCTATCATCATGACATTTTTACATAAAGACAAAATGTTAAACATTGTATGTATATTGCAAATATTCTAAAAAAACATCCATCCATCCATCCATCCATCCAGCCATCCATCCATCCATCCATCCAGCCATCCATCCATCCATCTATTATCTTTACCCGCTTCTTCCTTTTCAGGTCGCTTCACAGTCGTAGTACTTGTCCTTTCACGTTTCTTTCACCAAATTCTCATAGTTCCATCGAACATCTTTGAGATGCTTTGTGTGTCTGATTCCACCATATTTGTTTAGTATGCAGACTAAGCCCAGTCTAATAGAACAGCCATGTGACTCAAACCTGGATTTCAGATGATCCCGCCGTGCACTTTGTTTAAAATGAGTGCAAACCCACATTTCAGAATTGCATATGGAAAAGTACCAGAGCAAACACTTTTAAACAACACTATCTTATTTAGTTCAGCCCAACGTTTTCATGTTTGATTCCCCAGTTTGCAATGAATATCCTTAAAGCACCTTGTTTGCAAATTACAAACCACCTCGTTGCTACATAAAAGTGTTTGCTGTGAAAGTAGCCCAACTTCTGCTGAAATAGGTCACATTTGTTGTTTTGCTACACAATTTTATAGAAAACACTTATTGTCTGTGGACACTGCAGGAGAGGGGAAGCTGCGCAAAACGCAGCACTGTGGGTCTTTCATGGACTCAGAGCAGTGACTGTGATGATGAGCACTAGCTGCAGTGATTGATAAATGGCAGTTGATGCTCGTGCATGGATGAATGTACATTTGGCAACAGAAACATCTTCAGTCACCCTCGTGACGCCTCTGAGCTCGCCATCGTGGGGTTGGGGGGGGACTCAGCCCTCGGAGAGACGTCGGTGGTGTGGCTGCAGGATCCAACCCGCTCCAACGAGTGTGTCTTTAAGTGCGTGCGTGTGGAGTTTTCCTGCACCGGCTCATAGGAGGGGGTTGGAGTGAGTGACGCTGCGCCTTGGAGCTGAGCGGAGCGCTCACCTGCACACGAGAGAGCCGGGGAAAAGTCTGGACAGAGCTGCAGCGCATGCACGAAGCGCGAGCAAGGAAGAGTCCGAGCAAGTGAGGGAGGAAATTACCCACACCAGGAAGGAAGAATCCCGAACCGAGCCTGCCTGTCTCTGGTTCCATCCTCATCCACGCAGCTTTTTTTTTGGACTCGCCTCGCTCGCCACAATGAGAACTGACTTGGCTGTGGTTCTGACAGCATCTCTTCTTCTTCACACATTCTGGGTGAGGGGTTTATTTTATTTCATTAAGCTTAAAAAAATTAAAATGCTCTAAAAAAAGTCCTGCAGTCACACAGAACCGTTGCGGCGTGCTGCAGCACGGAGCGCAGCGCTTATTGCGTCTTATTACCAGCCCCAACTCCTCCACGCTAATTGGTTCCCCAATGGGTTTCCAACAAATAAAAAAGTAACACTTAACGACTCAACGCTGTCTACTTTAGTCAAGGTGGTCACTCATTGTCGCTGTTGTTTCATTGCCGGACAGCACAAGTTCAATTACGCACCGTCTGTTCACCAGGGTGATGCCTTTATTTCCAGTCAAACTAATTCTCCTGCTTAATTTAACTCGAGCCGCCTTGATTTGTAAGCTAAAAGCAATATCTTGTAAAAAAAAAGTTGAACTTTGGAGCATTCTTTTATTTTTTTATTTTTAATCAATAGAAGCTAAATGAAGTCTGCGCCTGTTGTTCCCTAATGACACCCAAACTGCATCTTTCTCTCTGCTGCGTAGAATTAAGCTCCTACTTTACTATCTGTGCTCTTTCTGCCTGCTCTTTAGCCCAAATGAGATATTCTAAACCATTTGTTAAATTTCAACCTCCAAGTCTGCGTGCATGTGTGTTGGACAGTGATGCAGTGATGGATTAGCTCATTTGATCATCACCAAACGTTGGGAGCAAAGTTGCCTGCAGTTTACTCGGTGCACATGCACTCAGTCTTTTGGGCCCCCCCCCCCCCCCCCCCCTCTGCTCAAGAAAGAGTCACACAGTATGGAGGGAGACAAATCTGCTGCATCCATGCAGCTTTCTTTGATGTGTATGAGTGTCTCATTTAACCCTGAGCACAATACTTAAACTAAATCTGTCCTCGTTTCGTTTTACTGCGTTCTTTATAGAAGCCAGTTGTTCAGCACGTTTGATTACTGACACTGGACTGAGGGTCAGTTTAATCAGCGGTGTGCCTTTATAGGAGTATGAAACCGATAAACTTGTTGAATATTTTTCTGCTTACTGCTGTTTTATATTGTTCCAAGGCGCACGGCCAACAAGAAAAAAGGAATGGAGTAAATGGAATGTGTTTATTGATGTCTTACGCTGTATTTTTATTTCCTTCCAGAGGAATAATGCGGAGCATGCCTCCAAAGGTCCCTGTCGGCCTGGCTTCTCACAAAGCTTCTACTCTGTGCTGGTTTCCAGGGATGTACTGCAAGGCCAGGGCATAGTTAAAGGTAAACCCTTTAATTGGCAAGCCAGGAGTTTTACATTGTGTCACGAATATTTACTGTTGAAGTGAAAGAGCTCCTTCTCAGAGGGAAACCTGGCATGGGAATAGAGACGTGTTTTGTTTTGTTTTTTCATTCAGGGGAATGATGTGTAGTGTTCAAAGCATCGAAGCATTTCTTGTGCTACATTTATTTCACCCCTGACGAGAGGAACATAACTGCTGTGTTGCAGCTAAAGCCGAGCATTATGTCAAAAATGTCGAAGCAGGAGCAAACTTTGTGAGCGTGTTTGGTGTTTTTGCACCACAGGAACGACGCACGGTTTTATCGATTGTATTCTGTTGTGTTATTTTTATTTTTGAAGTAAAAGTGCGCAAGACTGAAACATCTTTTATTACCTCAAAATTGTTGCCTGAATGTCTTCTAATACCATCAGTCCCTCTGACAGTGCTGAGCCTCGTGTGTTTATTCAATGCGTTTATAATATTTTACGTGCTGCAACCCTCACAGTACCGAATCTTACCGAGCTGTATGCAAATTGCTTCAATTACACAATGAAGCAGTAAAGTCTGAGGGCCCAATAGTGCAGGAAATGGAATTGACATCCTGTGTCTAATCTGGCAGTACTCCTGCCAATGCAGGCTAATTGCAATTCTCTATCGATCCCATTTTTTTTCCTTTCTCTTCCCCCCATAGCTCGAGCTGTATTGTTTTTCTTTAGGCAAACAATGGCTCTTCATTTTTTTTCAGTCTGCTGTGTCTCCAGCAGCTGTGGTGTAGAAAGTCTTCTCATTCTCTTTGGCTCGGCAGAGAAACAGCTGCCAAGACTCTCTGTCCCCTAATTTTCTGCTTACATAAAAGGGTCTTTATGCACATCGTGGTATTTTATGCAGTTTGAATATTTTGTATTTATACGCGTGCTTGTTTTGCTGTAGTATCACGCTGACAGAAGGCATCGGCTTCATTTGAGTGTTTCATTAACTTCAGCACACTGTTGCCCGTCTGGGTGTGGGATCGGATGTGGGACGTTGTCACTTGTTGCGAGCGTTGCTCTTAGCGCTGCAGTGATGTCTTCAGCCCAGCAGGGGGGTGTCAACACAATCAGAAGACGGAATGAGCTGTCACTGCTGCACAGGGGGGGAGTCATTTCTTCCAGACAGCATTATTTATCCAGTTTGGTCCCCAGGAGATGAACTCATCGCACCATCTCACATCAACTTATCTTAACTCGTCGAACAGGCTAGTTTCCAATTGTCTTGCAGAAGAAAGCCGTATGTGTGTGTGCTTCAAAAGACTAAAACCATTAAAAATGCACAAATGTTTTCTTTAAATTGCAATGAAACCATATGATTTATTTAGCATTTATCACGTCCAAGTCGCTTGACAAGTTCACGTGCACGTCTTTGCTGGCTCATAGCTGCAGTGTCATCTTTGTGTGAGAGCGCAGCTGTGGCGGCAAAGGCACCCACACATGTACACGCTGCATGAGACACACACTCATTGGGCGTGATGTACGGCGCTCGGGCAGTTGATTTATAGTTAAGAAGGGTGTCACTGAAGGCAGGCAGGAAGTGGCTCTGTAAAGGCTTTAATAATAACATTGTTTAACCTAAAACCGTCAGATGAAGGAAGAAGTAATGACGCCCACTTGTGCACACACACACACACACACATATATAAATATATTCATGTTAGCCAGCAGGGCTAATAATGGAAAGGACAGAACTAGGACCTTGGCCATGATGGGTAGAATGCCTGGGTCTAGACAGGAGGTCATGGGGGAAAAGGAGGGTGTAACTTTCACACGTTATCATTTTCAGCCTCTCAACATTTGCCTGAAACATGAAAGACTTGGTTTGCTTTTCAAATCGTCGCCGCAAATAAATCACTAGGGTCAAAACTTTATCTCACGGCGCAGTAATTTTTCCGAGAGGCCATTTTTTTTGTGATCGGAACAGCTTTTCATTTCCCTTTTGATTCGTGTGTTTTATCTGTATGACTAACACAGCTATTCATGCTTTGTTTTAAAAAAAAAAAAAAAAAACTTTTCTGTAATATTCAGCAGTCGTTTACGCGTTCAGCTCCTTGATGAGCAACGTGAAGATGCACTTTGTTTTCCAGTGATCCTCTTTGTGTGAACGACGATGCTCATTGAGATCAATCTAAAAAAAGAAAATTCAACAAATCATTGCCAACTGAGTTCTTTTTCAGTTTTACTGATAATCAGTCTTTTAAGGAGATTTATGAAATCTGCAGAGTGAATTAAAGATTTGCAGCTCAACTGCTTACAATATAATGTTAATATTAATATAATAATAATAATGTTAATGTCTGCTTAATTCATAGTTTCAGACGCATTTCTTTTTGTGTGGCAGGTTTATACTCCATGCAGAACAACGCAGAAAATGACTAAAATTGCAACAAAACAAACAAAAAAAAAAATACAAATATGATAAAATACTAACTAATAAAAATGTATCTATTTAAAGAAGCCTGTGGATTGCACCACATCTTTCAATCTCCCATCCTGAACACGCACACTGGTGACAGTGGAAAGGAAAGACATCCTTTGAACAAGAAGAAACCTCCAGCAGCACCAGGCTAAGGATAGGCAGCCATCGAGTGTCTGGGTTAGAGGAGACAGGAATACAGGAAGTCATCCTTTGTGTATTCTGTGTTTGAATATTTCAGGACATAAAACTCGTGGCCCTTTTTTCCCTCTCGAGCTCCAGTTGATGTTTGTAGGCGTCTTGTCTATCGCAGCGTTTCAGTCAGATTGGTTGTGATGGTTGTGATGTCTGGACTTTGATGGGACCACTGCCACACCTCAGCTCTTTTCATGTCCAGACATTTTATTGTCGATTTAACGGTCAACTTTGAATCATACCCGTCTCTTGGCTCAGTGTCTGTTAAGCTTTGACTCGGACTGTTGGTTTCACATTTGACTCAAAAATATTTTGCTGTGTAGAAAAGTTTTATAGTTTTCTGTATATTTAGGTCCTGTGCAAAATTGTTCAATTTTTTTTTCAGACTTGTCTCCTCATCATTGCGCTCGACAGATAATTTGCACGGATATGTTGTGTCGTCTTTTGCTTCAGACGTTCTGTGGTTCGTTCAGATGCAGCTTGACTAACCTAATCTGTAGTGCTGGCTTTGTTTTGTAATGATTGTTGGATTTTATTTTATTTTGTTAGGGTTAGGTAGTTTTGGCTATTCATCTGAGTTTTCTTTTATTACGGTCAAACACTATATGTCCTCCATAATGTGTATTTTCAGTTTTTACACCCCATATTAGTAAGCAGCACACCTGATGGCTGTCAGTAATCACCCTTTCCATTACTAATAGTTAATTCAGTTACTCTGTTCTTTGTCACATCTGTTATGTACTCTGATGGTTTAAAAACTTGCCTTCAGAGATTGATAATTGCTTTTCTAAAATAATTGCCGGTTTCTTTTCCCTCTAGCATTATGTTTATAACTCTGAATGTTGCAGACCAGCAAACTGTCCAAACCTTCTCGTTCTTTTTGAGGCTCTCGTTCTCACAGATAATCAGCGAAATAAGTGCATTTCCAATAGATAGCACCTAGATGTTATTTCCCCTCCTTAATTCTATGGGAGCTGTAATGGAGGATTTCTTCTGTAAATGGTCACCATGTGTTGTCCCTTGGAAGTGGTATTACTGACTGACTGACTGACTGACTGACTGACTGACTGACTGACTGACT